GATATTTACAGCACAGGAACATGAATGAACTCAACACAACCTACTTATGGCTACTTGCTTATGTGTTTCTAATATTGTCCAGCTGACATCAAGAGAGCTATTTCATAATCCTATAGGCAAGCTGAACCAAAGTGAAGCCCCTTCAAGCTACATGTTAAAAGAGCAATAAGGCTGATATACAGCTATGTTTCACTGTTGACAGTGAAAATAATGTTGAGTGAAGCATACAAATCTCTGAATTCAAGTAAGCATTCCTGTAAGATGACTTCATACTGGAAGTTGAACCCAATATCATTAAAAAAAATACACATTTAGAATGTAAAGGTTACATCACGGCACCTTGGATGTATCAGAATGCAATAACAAACACTTGATGGACTGCATCAAGCTTGCTACTGTCATTTAAAATTTACCTCATGTCCTTGGATATAAAAGGGCTGTACTGCTACTACATTACAGTCTTGTTAGCAAAATATTTTACTTTGGCAGCACAATGAAGTGCTTGGCTGAAGTCTCCCAGAGTTGTTCTGCATATGCAGTATCACACAGAGATAAAGGGTCAGGTCCTGACAGCTCTGCTATTATATTACAGCAGCACAACACCTAACCTAGTCAGCCCCAGCCTCTTGGCTACCACCTTCCCGCTCTGAAGATGGTTTTACTGCTTCTCCTCATGTTTCCATATCACCCTGTGCACATATCTCCTCAGCTTTAAAAAGAAAATACACCCTCAGCCACATGGCCAGTTGCAGAAGAAATGAAAAGAGAAATACTAAGTATTCCTCAAGAAAACTGCTACCTCTGCCTGCTGAAGTAAGCATCAGACACTCAGCCAACCTTTAACCCCTTCCCACCACTCACTGTCACACCTAAGAGCAAAGATAAACTGCAGCAGCAAGGTTTGTTGACGTCTATTTAAGGTTATTGCCCTCACCTGTCATCCTCACCTTCCTGTTAGAGATCACAATTCTTGCAGCAGAGTCAGCAAGGCAAACATGTGCCTCCAGCTCAGCTATACCAGTTACCACACTGTGTATTAGCTTGAAGATAAATGTTTACTTTATCCTGACATCCTTGCCTCTGACTGTAAGTGTAAAGCACTCCTGCCAATTCTGCAGTGAGAATGCCAACCTTCAGAGGGAAGAGGGCTTCAGGGCAGCAGCTGGCTATGGGTGACAACGTGGCTTCAGTCAGTGCCAGTCAGAAAATCAGGACCCAGAACAGACCAGCTGCCTTTCCCTTTCATGGCTTGAAGAAAAATAGTTTCAGGGACATGAAATCAGGGTAATGTTACAACTATGATAGAGTGTAAGGAGGACCCACCTTTCAGGCTCTGTCTGGAAGCCCTCTCCAGTCTAACATTGGCTCTGAGTGAAGAGAGGGCTGCTGGACAGGTGTCAGGATATCCAACAGTGCATCTGGGGCTGCCTTACCAGGCAGGATGCTGCTAAGAAAAGTTCATATGTAGCAAAACAACAATGAACTTCAAAATATTCCATTACACACATAAACAATCTGACATACTGTTTCCTGGATTGTTGCAGGAGTAACCTTTTTCTCAGGCAAATCCTAGCTTTATTCGTCAGTAGTTCAGTCTCTGCCTGGTCTGTCTTCCTTTCAGACAACTTTAATGCTGCTGACTTCAATAACTGCCATCATCTCAAAACATCGTGGCCAAACAACCCAAGAAATATTCCAAGCCTCCCCCTGATTGCTTCTTTGTTCCATAGACACCACCACTCACTTCTGTATGACATAATTACTTTGTTGATTGCTTGTTTCTAGAACAACCTGACCAAAGAGAGCTCATCATCTTGTTAACAAGCCCTAATTTTACCATTTATCACGAGTTTGCTCTCACAGGAGCTGTAGAACTCACAAGTTCCCTTTTATCAAAGCACCGTAGAAAGTTTAGTGATTTCTGAAGATGAGAGTCATTTTGCATTACCTGCTGGTCTGCATTAACATACCTAAGACATAAATCACACTTCATGGTAAGATTTCAAATGGTGGGAAGTCAGTAATGAGTAAGCTCAAGAAGAAAAGAAGGACATCCTACTCTCATTACAGCATATAAGTGCTTTTGAGCACTCTTCTCAATGGCCTACTGAGAAATAATCTACCAGAAATTCTGCCTGCAGACAGGGAAAAGAGTTTCCTGTTGTTCTTTCTCTTTGCACTCCATCCTTAAAGATTTCTGGTTTTATCCTCAAAAAGGCACCAACTCCAATAATCACACTATCAGAGATTCATACTAAATAAAATACATCATCTTGCTTCAGGAGGGTGTCTTCTGACTAAAGTAAACAGCCACAACTTCAGGCAGAGTGGGAAAAGCAGGGTAGCAGATAGAGCTTCAACCAAAGACCCCACTGATATCATTCAGAACGTGAAGACATCACTGCTCAGTCATTAAGTATTAGTAGATACGTGCTGGTCAGGATTCCAGCCAGCAAAGCAAAAGGCAAGCAAGCAACTATTAAAAAAGCACAACTATCATAACAGAGCAATAGGAACTGCTTCTTCAAGTTCTGCCCATGATGTACAGAAAGTAAACATGCATTGCACTACATCCCATCAGTATCACAATGGCTAACATCTCTCTGGACTTTGTTTTTAATGAAGACAGTTTCTGAACACAAAGTTAACCACGCGACATTTATAATGGTCTTTGTTAAGAACTGAATAGATGCCAACAGCAGCAATCCAACACACATTCTGCAAAAAGAATATGACAGCAATAAATCGTATATATGAAAATAGAGGAACTAAAAGTGGCTGACTTTTCAGAGGCTAAGGAAATGGTGGGATAGCTGAACGAGAATGTTATGAGTAAAAACAATTATCAGCTTCCGCATTTTTGGATAACAGCCGATACATACTCAAAAATGTATTCATTTTTATTTAAGGACGCCTGCATTTTCAGGGTTACATTGTAGTTGATGGCAGTTAATCTGGAATTCTCGACAGGGTGTAAATGCTAACATAGCAGTAACATTCTGCATGGTTTTCCAAAAAAGTACATGGGGGCAAATAAACCCCTCTGCTTTTGGACAGCTTGCAGGGCTGGCTGAGAACAGTGACTCATTCTCTTAACACAGGCAACAATACGACAAGATGCCTTGACCTAAGCTTGCTAAATTAGGGCATCGATTACAGAGTTGTTCCCCTGACTGGTCTTAAAACACTGCTACTGAAAAGGTATGAATGCAGGGCCTGTTTTGAACAGTCTCCTTTGGAACAGTTCTCAGTTTAGAACTATTTAATTGATTTTTAATGGATGAAAAACTTAGAAAAGTGATGTAAAACATTTGCCAACTAAGTGCAGAGATAACAACGTCACAGTGGTATCCAGTGGTAAGGTAGTTCAGTATTACAGTTACATTAATCACGCATAAAGTGATCTCAGTTCTCCAAGATGCCCTGAATACCGAAGAAGTTGGCAAAGTTAGGCACAATCCCATGCAAGAGACACCTATTTAATAATGCAGAAACTTTAGAAAATGAATAACTGTCTCAAAATAAGTTCTCAGTGCAGTGCAGAGGAAGTATGTGCCTATAAATAAGTAGGACTGTCAGAAAAAATTTAGCATTGATGAGGCCAGCAGTACGGTATCATACTTCCCTTCAGGAGGATAACACAAAGAAACACAGGGGAGATACACAGAAGGTGCTGCTTGTGGTTGTGTCCTAAGAGACATAGAGAGTGCATATGTTATGATTAGAGAACACTTTCCAACCCTGCTAAGAGAGTCATAATGGAATCCCATCTGAGAAGTTAGTAAACAGCCAAAAAGATGTGTTGTTTCTCAATGTGGATGACTTATTGAAGGATGAAATGGACTCATCACATGAGCATTTGAAATGAGAACAAAGTCTTAAAAAGTCTTCCTTAACTTGTCCCAAGAGTGTATTCTTGAGCAAGATGACATAAATGTGGACTTCAAGGAACTTTACTCTTCAGAGGATTCCCCCAGTTTCCTGAAGTCTGCCCATAAGGTTACGAGAAAAATCAGTCTGGAAGTTGTGCACACACTAATTTTAATTACTTTAAATAAGATCTATTGACTTAGGGACTTCCTCTCTCTGCTTGCTCAGAAGGATATGACTCCTTCTCATGCTGCCCAACCATTCAAGTGGTCTGGCTGGAGAAGAGAGAGCAGGATCCTTTTGAACCAAAGGAGACCTGTAATCAGCTGGAGCCTGGACAGCAAGCAACACCAACAGGTTGACTTCTTCTACACTTCCTTAGAATCACAGAATCATTGAGGTTGGAACAAAACACTGAGATCACCTCATCCAATCACCAACCCGTCACACCATGTCCACTGACCACGTCCCTCAATGCCACATTCACACAGTTCTCAAATACCTCCAAGGGTGGTGACTGCACCACCTCCCTGGGCAGCCTGTGCCACTGCCTCATCACTCCTTCTGAGAAAGTGATGTTTCCTAATAACCAACCTGAACCCCCATGGCACAACTTGAGTCCATTCCCTCTCATTCTATCGCTGTTACCTGGGAGGCTGACTCCCACCTCACCACAACCTCCCTTCAGGTAGTTATAGAGAGCAGTAAGGTCTCCCCTGAGCCTCCTCTTCTCCAAACCAAATAATCCCAGCTCCCTCAGCCGTTCCCCATAAGACTTGTGCTCCAGACCCCTCACAGCTTCGTTGCCCTTCTCTGGACACACTCCAAGGCCTCGATGTCCTTCTTGTATTGAGGGGTGCAAAACCGAACACAGCACTCATCAGAGCGAAGTACAGATCGCTCTGTCCTGCTGGCTGCATTGCTGCTATTCAGAGCAACAAGTGGGAGCAGGAGGCACCTGGAGGACCAGCAGAGTGGCAGCTTCCAGCTCTGAGCTCCCAGCCAGTTCGAGAACCGGGCAACGCTTGTCAGCAAGTTACACCAGCCAGAGTGCCGCCGTCCCGAGGCTTGGTGAGCGCTGCAGATGAGCCGCAGCCCCCGCCCCGCAGCCCCCCGCCCCGCCGGCTCACCCGCGTCGTAGAAGGCGTCCAGCACCGCCGTCTCCCCGAAGTCCAACTCCCCGAAGTTGACCGTGCCGAGCTGCGCACCCTCCGCCTCGCACGCCCGCAGCAGGCACTGCCTCGCCCCGGCTTCGGGGCTGCGCGCCCCGGCCCCCGCCTTGGGCGGGTCGTTCAGCACGTACACGGCCCGCAGACAGCGGGACCGCGGGGCCGCCGGGCCGCCCTCCGCCGTCTCCCCGCCGCCCTCGGCCGGGCCGGGGGTCGGCGGCTCTGGCTCCGCGCCGGGGTGCGCGGGCTCCGCCGCCGCGCCGCCCGCGGGGCTCTCCATGGTGGCTGCCGGCAGGTGCTCAGGCGGGGCCGCGCCCCATCGCCAGCCCGAGGGCGAACTCCAGCCGCGCCCGGCCGGGCGCCGAGGCAAAGGCCGAACTCTACGCCGCCCTCCCGGACGGGGCAGCCCTGTGGGCCGGCGGAAGCACAGCCCCGGGCGCACCGCGTCCCGCCGCCACCAGAGCGGGACTGAGGGGAGGCGGCACCGTCGGGGCGACCGCGCCTCGCGCTTCGCTTTCCTTCCCCGCCCCTCGCGGGGCAATCCGCCTCCGCGCACCGCCCGCTCCCCGCGGTCACTGCTGTTACTTGAAGAGGCGGCCCAGCTCGGCTGCGTTCGGAGGGGTCGAGCAGCGCCCTATGCCCGTGCAAAGCCGGAGTCCGTCTGCTGCTGTCAGCCCAAATCTCCGGGCTGTTCCCGAAGCGGCAAAGACCACTGGTTGCTGCTTGTTCTTCCCTCAACCCAGTGTATTACGCCCTTTCCCTAATATCTTATCTTTCCACTTAAGGTTTAATTGGTCTTGACCCCAGATGGACCACCTGTGCCAAAAGCTTGAGAAACAAAGCATCCTTCAATTCCTGCTATTTCTTTAAAATCTCCCATGACTGTGGCTCCATGATCCAGCTTCATGGCACCAGTGAAAAGAACCCGGCCCCATCCACTTGACAACTTCCCTGTAAGTATTTGTAAGCATGGATAAGACCCCCTCTCAGCCTTCTCCAGGCTGAACAGCCCCAGTTCTCTCAGCCTTTCCTCATACAGAAGATAATCCAGGCCCCCCATCATCTCTTAGGCCCTCCTCCTGGCTTGCTCCAGAAGTTCTGTCTTTCTTGAACCGAGGAGCCCAGAACTGGACACAGCACTGCAGATGTGGCCTCACCAGGGCAGAGCAGAGGGATCATCTCCCTCAACCTGCTGGCCACGCTTTTTTAATGCATTCCAGGATCCCAGGATACCATTGGCCTTCTTGGCTATGAGGGCACACTGCCTGCTCATGATCACCCTACTGTCCACTGGGATAGCCAGGTTCTTCTCTCAGCTTTGTATCTTGGCTGTCAGAAGGGCACCATGGCATGCACTGAAATCAGGGCAGCCAGGAACCAAAGGAACTGTGGAAACCTTGAGGCCTTGAATGAATTTGGATTGGAAGTAGCAAGCCTGGCTGGAAAGCCTGTTCACCTCACTTTTCACTTAGGGCTATAAACAAGTTTTAAGAGGACAGCATCTTTACCTTCTGATGCAGCCTTTCTCCCTACTGCTATCTGAAATTTATATTTTTACCATACACCATAATACAATAAAAGCAACTTATTGCACACTGTTTTCTTCTGTAGGTGTCTGGCACCATTGTGACCAAAAGAGGGGTTCCAGTAGCCAGTTGTTTCGAGAGACACTCCGGATAGCACTGTGCAATGTGGCTCAACATGGATGCAGAAACAACACGTAAGAGGCAAATCTGTCCCTCATTTTGGAGAGTTTGGAGCAAGTAAGCTGTTGTATTTGCTGCAGAGGTTGAGATTTCTGGGTTTTTTGTTTTTTTTTTTTTTACAAAAGCAAGAGTATGGAGAATTAGAGAAATTATCTACTTTGGCTGCCAGAGCTCCAACCCCTTCCTGGAAGTTTTCCTCTCTAGGTATGAGTAAGCCTTTCTATTTGACACCTCTAGCTCTATTAGCCTTGAACCAGCAAGGCAACAGTTTTCTGATATAACAGAAGGAAAATCTAAATCCATGAGTGGAAGTACCTCAATGTGCATATGGCAGCCCTCAGCTGACAAATATTGCAAGTACACACTTCTATGGTCCTCCCCAGCACAAACCCTACTTTGTATTTTTTGCAATATAAGAAAGCTTAGCTGAAGAGCTGGTACTGGAATAAAAAATAAAATAAAATTGTAAAATTTAAGGGATTATTTATACAGGAAATCTTACTTAATTGTGTTCTTAGGCTCTCAGCAGCTAACATGCAAAAACAAATTGCAGTTGAATGGGTTCAGAACAATGGAGGCGTGCTGTGGTGCTCCCTGTAATCTTGAAAGTTGTTGAAGTGTTAATTTGGAACAAATATGTGGGCTGGAATTACTTAAGGGGATTCTGCTGAGACATAATAAGAAAGCCTTTTCTGCCTTCTAGAGATTATCACAATCCTATTTCCTTGTAGAAAGAAGATGTGTCTTTGGCTTTCATTCTGCAGACATTAACATTCGGCATCATTTTGCATTCCATGCTGAGAGGTCTGTCTCTTCATCTTGCAACAGAGCGACAGTCTCTCTTCATAGATATTTAATGTACAATGAGACTTTTCCTCTTCTCTTGATTATATTCACTCTTCTTCCATGCAATATCCTTACTGTTCCTCTGGCATTTTCTCTAACAAGCTGCTACATTCTGAAGATTCATTTTCAGTAGTTTAACATGGTGCCATTTGTTGTGCTTGTAGACTTTCTTTGTAGCTGGGAACAAGGAGTATTTTTAAAGGAAGAAGCTTCATTTTGTATACTGCAACTGAGCCTTTGATGTAGGACTGATATTTCAACTGAATACCAGTATCTTCAGGTCTTGCAAGTTACCTGAGTGAGAACAAGTAGGAAATTCACTTTGGAGGGGATGCGGGGGGGTTGTAGTGTTTCTTTGCAAGTAAAAAGTTGAATCGTTACCTAAGAGCCTTCTCTTCTCCAGGCTTAACAAGCCTAACTTGCTCAATCTTTCTTGTGAAGAGAGGTGCTCCAGCCTTCTGAGCATCTCTGTGGCCTCCTCTGGACCTGTTTCAACAGCTCCACATTCTTCTTCTGCTGGGGGAGGGGGGGAAGGTTCCAGACTGGGACTCAGTACTGCAGATGATGGGTCCTCATGAGAGCAGAGCAGGGGGGACAATCTCTTCCCTGTCCCTGCTGCCACCCCTCTTTTGATGCCACCCAGGATGCAGGTGGCTTTCTGGGCTGCAAGCTCACACTGGTCCTGTTGAGCTCACACAAGCTCCTGATGGGCTTCTCATTAACCAACACTCCCAAATCCTTTTCCACAGAGCTACTCTCAATATGTTCTCTGCCCAGTCTATGTCTGTGCTTCGGATTGCCCATAGCCAGATGCAGAACCTTGCACTTGGACTTCTTGAATTTCCTAAGGTTTGCACAGGCCCACCTCTCAAGCCTGTCAATGCCCTTTGGATGGCATCCCTTCCCCTCAAGTGGCTGGGAGGGTGGTTGGACTAGATGATCTTGCAGGTCATTTTCAACCTTGCGATTCTGTGATTCTGTGACTGCACCATTCAGCTTGGTGTTGTCCACAACTTCCTGAGGGTGCACTCAATCCTACTCTCCATGTTATTGACAAAGATGTTAAACAGTGGTAATGGTGAACACTGTTAATTAACTCGTTGGTAGTACCATTTCTCCTCTGCTGTCCACTTACTTTCATTTACAGTGAGCAGGTATCCGAGTAACCATATAGATACTGCTCTTACATGAATGAGAAGGAAATCGTTATTGTATTTATTGAACAAGAAAATAAGACTTATTTATTGTTAAGTATGCATTCATACAAAAGCTGTTCTCTTTTATAAGGTCATCAAATAAAAGCTTTACCAGAGTCTAAATAAAATCCTGTGAATTCCCTTTAAGAAGTCCAGCAGAGCTGCTTGGTTTTGTTCAAAATCTCAGATTCAAAATATTGTAGATATGCAATGGCAGCTAAACAGCATGAATGAGCCTTGAAAGGGAACCTCACAAGGAGGCCTACAAATGCCACAACTTAAAGCATTCGCATGCAGGCAGTTTTGCTTTGCAAGGATGCCCCAAATTGGCATGAACTCTAAACACCATACAATCACTGAATCAGCATTAGTTTTTTTCACTGGAAAGCGCAAGACCTCATGTGCTCATCTGACCTGCTGACAGAGAATGAGGGCAAACAGCTGCTGGTGCAAGGACACAGTCTCTTAGTGCAGCTTTCTGCTCAGATCTCCTCTTGTGTGCAGGGCTAATTCAGCTTCTCCAGACCAGAGCCCATCATCAGTCCAACTGAAAACCACTCATCACCTCTTTTCAACACATTTCACACGACTTCCCATAACCTTTCTGAAGTTTATACTTCTGATGGGAAGAAAAGCAAGCCATGCAGTACTCAGCTGGTAGACATTAATACTTTGAAGACGTAAGCACTACATTTCTTCATTCATATGGCCCTCTCGCATGATTAATGTTTTCTATTTTGCAGTCCTAAACCTGACAGATCTTTTCTCATGTTGGGTCTCTCTCCAACTGAGCAGATCAGAGGGGTCAGAAATATGCATTTCCTGTAGGAACAAGAGGGAACTTCAAGTGGCTTGGTATAACATTTGTGAACTCACTGAAAATCACATGTTCATCCTGAGTCTGACTATTTTTCCTGTCTTCAACCTGATCAAATTATCCTCAACTTCTTTATCTGTCATGGCTCAGTGCTTTCTGTGTGGTTGTTCTTTTGGACTGTTCTAAGACAAGGTTCCTACCTTCATCCTCTCCCAAGTTACTTGTCACTAAAAGAATACCCATGACTTGGTCACCTGGGCCAATGGGCTCATTCCATCTGCTGATTAACGAAATCCCAGCAAAATGTGACTATAGCAGGGAATTCACTTAAACACATCATGGAGACATCTAGGCTCCATGATTTGACTAATCTTACATTTCTGTACATGCCAGGTGCAAAAGGCTGTATGAGACTTACAAACTTAGGAAAAGACAAGACATTCATGCTGCTTAAAAACATTTTAAACATCCATAATCAGAATGGTTATGTTGTTATCAGTTGGTACTGCGAGAAGAAAAGCGATCTTGAAGAGGCAAAAATCACTCTGAAGTGACAAATCAAAAACCTCATCTGTTGGTACTCACTTTTAGAGTAGGTACCACTGAAAACTTTGTACATTTAGACTGATAAGTAGTAGGCTTTTATGATGGTGTCACAGCATCAGTGGACGTGGGAAGAGCTACTGATGTCATCTATCTAAGGACTTCAGTAAGGCCTTTGACACAGTAACCTGCAACATCCTTTCCTCCAAACTAGAAAGATATGGATTTGATGGCTGGACTGTTCAATAGACAAAGAATTGGATGCGGAATTGTTCAGAGAGTAGTGGCCAATGGCTCAGTGTCTCTGACCCAGAGGTCAGTGCTGGGATCAATGCTCTTATCAGTGACACTGACAGTGGGGTTGAATGCACTCTCAGCAAGTTTGCTGGTGACACCAATCTGTGGGGTGCAGTCAACACACCAAAGAGATGGGATGTTGTCCAGAGGAACTTAGACAGGCTTGAGCAGTGAGCCCAGGTGAACCTCATGAGGTTCAGCACATCCAAATGCAAGAGCTTGCAGCTGGGTTGAGGCAACATCCACTGCCAATACAAACTAGGGTTGAAAGGACTGAGTGCAGCCCTGCCAAAAAAGACCTGGGGATACTGGTGGATGACAAACTGGACAAGAGCCAGCAATGTGCCCTCACAGCCCAGAAAGTCAATCAAATCCTAGGCTGCATCAAAAGAAGTGTGGCCAGCACGGTGAGGAGGGTGATCTGGCCCCTCTACTCTGTGCTGGTGAGGCCTCACCTGGAGTACTGCTCTCAGATGTGGAGTCCTCAGTACAAGAGAGACATGGACCTGTTGGGGACCATCCAGAGGAGGCCACAAAAATGATCCAAGGGGTGGAACACCTCTTCTATGAGGACAGGCAGAGAGAGCTGGGGCTGTTCAGCCTGGAGAAGGCTCAGATGTGGCCTGATAACAGCCTTTCAGTTTCTAAAGAGAAGTTACAGGAAAGAAGGGGACAGACTCTTTAGCAGAGTCTGTGGTGATAGAACAAGGGGAAATGACTTCAAGCTTAAAAGGGATAAATTTAGGTTGGATATAGGCAAAAAGTCTTTTACAGTGATGGTGGTGAGGCTCTAGAACAGCTTTCCCGGAGATGATCGGGGAACTGGACTGCCCCCCTGCAAAGACAGGCTGAGGGAGCTGGGCTTGTTCAGCCTGGAGTAAAGAAGGCAGTGGGGTGACATCATTGCAGCCTTTCAGTACCTAAAGGGAGCCTACAGAGGGGAAGGGAATCAACTCTTTGAAAGGGTAGATAACTGCAGGACAAGGGGAAATGGTTTTAAGTTGAGTGAGGGGAGATTTAGGTTGGATGTCAGGGGGCAGTTCTTTACAGAGAGAGTGGTGAGGTGCTGGAACAGGCTGCCCAGAGAGGTTGTGGATGCCCCATCCCTGGAGGTGTTCAAGGCCAGGTTGGATGGGGCCATGGGCAGCCTGGTCTAGCATTAAATGTGGAGGTTGGTGGCCCTGCCTGTGATGGGGGGTTGGAGATTCATGATCTTTGAGGTCCCTTCCAACCGTGGGCATTGTGTGATTCTATGAATAAAATCTCCATCCTTGGAGAGCTTAAAGGAGAGGCTGGATCAGGCCCTGGGCAACCTGATGTAGCTGTGGTGTCCCTGTTCATTGCAGGGGAGCTGGGCTAGATGGCCTTTAAAGGTCCTTCCAACTCTAAGGATTCTATGATTCTAAGTAAACATACTACAACTTCAACTGGAACCTTCAAACTGTATTTGCATTTTCTCTTGTTAAGGCAGCCAAGAGATGGCAATGTTTCTTAAATGCTGGCTTGGCATATGAAAGAGTCTGCCATTGTCCACTTCAGGTGCTTTTTTCAGTCTAAGAGTAATTTGTATCCATGAAGGAGCAGTGTGGGATCAGCAGAAAAGTGGACAATAACCATTGAGAGCACAGCTGAGGCCCCTAATGAGGAAGAGAGCAACACTGGTCCTCTTGAAAACCCCTGGCAGCTCTTTTCTCTGTCTGCATGGTGACTTTGTTTCCTAGGTGTGAACTTGTTAGCATGGGGCTGCTGTTAATACTGGGGCTTGGCTCTGGGCACTTCTCTGCGCTGTTAATGGTGAGACCTGAACACATTTACAGCACATCAGCCTACAGCCTTTCCTGGAGCTCTCTTGGTTTTGCAGCAAGACAAAATATGAGGCCAAACACTTTGTCTTCTCTGCTTTGTCAACTTGTATTACATATGTTCTTTGCTGGGAGAGTGTCATGTACTCAGGGCTATTACAGCCACCGCCAAACCACCCATCAGCCTTGTACAATTAGAAAGTGTTACGGCCAGATACACTGTCACTCCAGCACAGCCCTTTTTCAGACCTCTACCTGCTGGCATGATAGGAATCATTCCAGCAAAGTTTTAAAATGCTGTACAAGTGAGACCTGCAGCCCATCACTGTGTCAAATCACATTCCTGTCAAAGTATCAAAGAGTTTCCTCCCGCACTTTGCAATAGGAAGGGTCACAGCACCCAGTTAAACAGTAACTCGCTTTCTGGTCAGCTCCAAGACTCTGAAGAAGCACAAAACATTCCTGACCTTTTCACAAGAACAGACCCTGGATTTACTAACAATTTTGTAAGAGAGATGCCTACTCTTTTTTTGTTTGGGAAATTCCAAATCATGGCTGATATTCTGAAGAAATGAGTGCTGAGGCTGTGCTAGCAGTAGGACTACCCAAAGCAGGAGTAAAATCCTTTGTGCTGCCTGATAGCATTGTTTTATCTCAAGGTTCAAATCCAATTGGAAAACTGAATGATTTTGCTATTGCTCTCTACTCAGTTATCCACACAGCAACAACAAAGCAAAATATAGGGTTATTGCTCTGGCATGCACACACATGTAGGACAAATGTCACATACCTTTACTTCCCACAGGATTCCATTATGGCATGCACTCACCTCTGTAGCATGAAACCAACCTGAACTCAGCCTGCAAAGCACCCCATTTGCCTTCTGTCCCAGACAGACACAGTGACAGCCCAGTCCTGTCTGAAAGGAGACAGCAACCAGAGCCTGCCAAAGGCAGCAATCTTACCAGAGCTGCAGCATCAGCAGCTTCAGGTGGACAAAGGCAGTAGGATGCATTGCTTAGGGGGCAGATTCCCTCCTGCGCATCACAGGAGTACTGGGACATACACTCCTACAGGAGGAAGCCACCAGGTTCAAGGTAGCAGAAGGTTTGCTGCCTGAGGTTGCTGCCTTTTATAATTAGGTGGGAGAAGGCTGAGAAAACATGAGGGCCTGGGAGGAGAGTGAAAACATGAATGGGAGAACGTGGGCTTGTCTCAGACTGCGCCCAGCTGGACAGGCTCATGCTGATGCATTCCTGCCATGTCCTGCTGCCCTGCTCTCTTGGGAACTCTGGGTCAGCATGAGACCGAATCAACCTTGTTGACTTCAGTATAACCAGATTAACCCAAGTCCAACACTGAAGCTTCTAGCACTGGCAGCAGTGTGATATCCTTTTTGTGGGAGAACTCCCCACCCACAGGTTACTGAGCTGTGCTTCTGACGTAAACAGGTGCTTCAGGTCAGGGCATAGGAAATTTTCCATTCCCTGAGCACAGTGACACATGCCAAGCCAGCTGCACAATCACAGCACAAACATCCCGAGCCCCTGGCGAGAGATTCGACATCCATTAATGAACCAGCTTCCTCCAGCCAATGCTGTTTTTGCTGGGTCTCAAAATGTATGCCATGTTTCTTGTGCCTTGTGCTATTATTTGCTAAATGGCTGCATCTGTGCTTCCAGCAGAGCTCAACTAATTTGGCTCTTTCAGTCTGGAGTAGCCAAATTATGCAACAGCAGCAATTTCTATGCAGGTGCTCTGTTGTACTTATCCTTTCTTATCTGATGGTAGGAGAAAGAACCTGGCACAGAGGCTGTTGCACTGCTCCATCTCCTGCAGTTCACTGGTGTTATGCCCTTCAGAAAGAACAGCAACCCCTGCAGAGGTAAACCCCAGTGAGGGATCATCCTGCAGCAGGGATGGCTTCCTGGCCTCTTTTTCACATCCTCTAAGAAAAGCCCCCAGAGTGATCTCACAAAATACCAGACTTCATCCTGAGGAGCTGAAGAGCAGCTTGATGGGTCCCTCCACGTGAGCATGTTCACCTTTCTCTGACTGGGATGAAGCAGGAGAAAAAAAAACTTGTATTGAGGAACACAACAAGAAACAAAAAGTCTTGTTTGCCCAGCTGATCTGTTCCAGGCTGGAAGTACTGGCATCCCCATGCTTTCAGGCTTGCTATCTAAGGAAGTTGGTTATTTTCCAAAACAGAGGGGCTGTGGCTGGAGGGTAGAGGTGGAAGCAACTGCAGGAGGCAGGAATGAACGTGCTGGGACACGAGCAATTGATTGCTCATTCCTGGGCCAGGTTTGAGAGTCAGCTGAGGCCAAAGGTGCCAAATGACATCTATTTCTGACTGAGTGGTATTAATAACCATGGAGACAAAGTAGCTGGTATTTGGTAGAGAATTCAGATCCACCCCAACTGCTCTGAATAGGAGTCAGCACTGAGAAGACCCTCTGCCAAAGGAGAACCACGGCCACCCCTAAACAGAAGTCACAGAGCAGTTGCTTCCACTTTTAAACAGCCCTCCCCTTTGCTCTTGAACCACAGCTCGCCTGCCTAACCAGCGGCTTCACCCTTATCCCTATCCACCCTATCCACAAAGGGCAACACTGCCCTCCTCCATGTGCCTCTCCCCTTTCCCAGCCCCCAGGCCTTTCTCCAGACACTGGACTTGACACTCCCTTTCAGGTCCCAAGTGTGGGCAGGGGGCCCACACCCACCTGCAGCCTTTGCCTGTGCTCCGTTCTGAAGATCTGAAGTTCTAAAGATCTGAATGGATCTTTAATAACAAAAATGTAGCCGGAAGATGAAATTTAACTAGTAAAACTTAAGGAACACCTTGAATATTTACATTTCCAAGTAAAACTGAGCACTGTGGTCCCATGTTAAGAATATCAGTTCCTTTTACAGTTGAAAAAAAAAATAATTAGAAAAACAACACAACTGTTTTCTTATCGATCTGACACGTTTCCAAATCGAGATGAGTAACATTATCATCCAAAGGTGTGATCCCAGTGTTTCATACCAGCACATATTTCTGCTTGGAAACAGAAGTCTCCTTCAAGACCACTGTGTGCATATTAACAAAAAATCATTTCCCACAACACTTTATAAACAGCAGTATTTAATCACTGTCACATCAAAAGCACTTTGCAGCTCACCAGCATTTTCTGTTTTTCTTTAAATAGAAACCCAGACATTTTTTAAAGCAGCAGCTTACATCCATGGCTTTCACTCATAAGCCATCACCTTTGAAAAGGGAAAAATCCACGTACTGTGTAAAATACTTCCTGTTATAATGAAATGCAGCAAGCAGAAAAACTTGTGTTGCTTTGAACTCTCTTATCCCATAATAATAAACTTGCAAAGCAAAGCATTTTCACCAAATCTTATTCAATCTTCATTTACAGATACGCTGGACTTTTCACTTGGATTTATCAAGTGACAAGTTATCATCTCAAGGTACCATCGACAGGGGAGAAAAATCAATGTGATTTGCTATCAGAAAACTCCTCGCCAACGTCATACTTGCATTTACAAAAAATGGAATGCTTCTGAGAAGTCCCTTCCATGTCTGAGATACAACTCAGGAATTAGAACTTTATTTACCATGGATGCAATAGTTTATTTTCTTCCTGCAATGCAACTAGGAAGCTAGAACTGTTGCGTGGATACTTGTTGCAAATATAACACTACAAACCCAAACAGAATTCTTTATTTCCTCCTCTTCTACTCACTGCTATTGACCTCACAAACCTTTACTGCTGGAAAGTTATGTTGGGATTATCACTCTTTGTATAAAAAAGTGATGTAATTATTTAGAAAGGTTAAATAAGAGCATTTGAGTGATATTTTATTAGTGCTTCTATTTAAGAACACTGAGCAATAGTATTGGGACTTTTTGAAATATTCTCAAGTTTCATCATCAGATTTTTTAATCTCAGATACCACAGATACAAAACAAGCGCATGCCACAGTAGAAGAAATGATCCCAATAGTGAGGTTCACTATTGCCAGCTGAGTTCCATAAGGTAAGATCTGAATATGGTAATGTGTGCATTTTATACAGCTGTGCATACAAGAAGATTACGGGAGCTCTGCCAGCCATGTGAGAACATGACTGGCCAACAGAGAGCTACTTCTCACCCAGTTCCCAGCAGGCAGGTTGGTCAGTTGTGATACAGGACATCTTGGATAGAGCCGACGCCAGCATTTGGTGAGATGACAAACAGAGCCTTTAAGTATTTTGTTGTGTTTTTGTCACTCCGCAGTATCAACATCACCACTCACCCACTCACTCCATGTTGTGTAAAAATATCCATGACCTTAAATGCTTTGTAAAAACTCACCAGGGATTGCTGACAAGGTATGAGATGCTCCACTGCTAGCAAAGAACACACAAAACCACCAACAGGAAACCAGAAGTTATTGTGAATGAATGGAAACAGAAACTGGAAGAAACAAAGCAAGCACCAGGCTCCACAAAATTAGGAAGACAAAGGCTCACTGCAAAGCAGGGCTTGAAGTATCTCACTCTACATAACTCAATGGCAGAAAGCTTACAACATTATGCAGCAAACAGCACTTCATAAATTGCAAATGAAACAACGGCACACAATGGAGAACCTTGTGCAGGAAATAATACAACTTTTTATTCACGTTTTATAGTTTACTTTTCTTTATTTTTGCTTTAATAATGCATATTCTGTTCACTCTGTGCAAAATTGGGGACGGAGGCTGGCGCTGAAATCATCTACTGAAAACCAAGCGGAGATAAACATTCAAAACCAAAGGAGAGGCTACTGAAAACGGGAAAGCTAAAAAGCCACAGCTGATGAAGACAGAGATGCTCTCAACTGTGCCACTGTCCCACGGCTTGGCAGGGACCTGGTTGTGTGGAGCAGCTAGCTGTACACGGCGAGTGTGACCTCTACCGGACACCGGTGACGGGAGATGGGGGTAGCTACGTGATGGAGACCTGACCTGCAACCAGCTCCCGTTGGTGTGTGGCAAAGAAAGGCACAAATCATTGCAAAGACCGGATTCTTATTCTGATGGTTTTCTTCTCCTAAATACATTACTGTACACAACGTTAAGTTTCATTGTAGGGGGTTGGGGAACATGAAATTGCATATTTAACAACTTAAAACTGTAACAAGAAGTAGGCTGTTCTATCTTGAAGCAAAAATAATCCCTCCAGCCCCAGCGTTAACATTCATTCCTGGCTATATGCAGTACAAACATTTTAAAATCTGTGACAAAAGACAATTAAAAAACAAAAACAAGAACAAAAAATAATCAAAATCATAAAGCTTGTAAACAGATAATCTGAAATACACTTTATTTATGGAAAAATATCATCAAAATAGTACCACTATGGACTAAACTGCCTGAGTTTTCATTTCACCTATGATCTTGAAGTAGAGAGCCTTTAGCACAAGAAGATCGATTTCAGTCACAACCAGTGCCACACTGCACCGCTTCGTGTGGAAGATTTTTCCTCACTGTTGGTATTTCTGTTGTGCTATCAAAAACGGTTGTGCTAATCCTTTGAGAAAGGGATGTTGAGGCAATTCTTTAATCATTTGGCACAAAGTTATTTTGGCTGGGGCATAAATTTGAGTCTCAGTCATGTAGAATAATGCAACATTCCATCTATCAAGTATTCACTTTGATTGAAGAGCTTTCTTTATGTCATTAACTTCCATCTGAAAGGAAAAAACAAAAAAGTAAATTTGTTGAAATCAGATGTTTTAACAAACTAAGGCACAGTTGGTGCAGTTTGAAAAGCACATATTTCATTCTGTCCACAGGTGTCAGTACAGGCTTTATATCACCCTTATTTCCAAAGATTTCACAAACTGAGGTGACCTTCTCAGCTGCACAAGGTGACTGGTCATGGCTTCCTCCCTTCAGAGCTAGATAAGCACAGTCATTGACCATGCCCCAACACCTCTTGAACTCTCTCAATTCTCAGTGATGACTGCCACAGCCTGTGCAACTTGCTGCCAGGAAATAACTCACTGAACTGTGCCCATGCCCAGGCACTTACACCCAGCACAACTGAACTGCCACTGACTGCAAACACCCATAGCTGATCAGGAAAACCTGGGGAGGCCTGACGGCGGCTGCAGCTCCTCACAGGGAGCGGAGGGGCAGCGCTGAGCTCTGCTCTGTGTGACAGCGACAGGGCCCGAGGGAACGGCGTGGAGCTGCGTCAGGGGAGGGCGGCTGGGGGTCAGGGAAAGGGGCTGCACCACAGCGCGGTGGGCAGGGAACAGGTTGGGCTCAATGATCCCTTTAGGTCCCTTCCACCTTGAGACAAACTCTGATCCTACTTCAATTTGAGCTGAACGTGAATTGTGTGCTACTAGAAGTTTATGTGTTTGCATGCATGAAGTTCTTTACACGGCCCTGGAGCACAGACATTGATGATCCCCTGTTCTGCCACTCTTTGTCATGTTCCCAAGTCCTCTTCTAAGCAGCCCGGTGAAATTACAGTTCGATTTTCTATCCCTAGTACAAAGATATAGTACAGTTGACCTATTCCATAGAAATATAAAACATAATCAATACTAAAGCTCTTATCAAGTACATTACACTTCAAAATCTGGAAAAGCAGATTCAAAGTCATTCCACGATGAAGCTGCACTGTCTGTGACCCTACCAAAGGTGCAGCTCCGTTACCCTTATGCAGGAAGGGCAGAACACTGCTTGGAAACACTAAATCAATTTGCCAACTTAGGTACTATACAAACTATGATAGCAGTAACTGACTCTTAATCCTAACGCCATCTTTTATATTATTTATGATGCTTTAGTGAAGGCAACCTGAATTCAGCCTATAAAACAGACATAAAAATCTTGCAACGTGAAATATAAAATACAAAATATAAAGCTTTGGGAGAGAGTAAATCATTTAAAAATGCACTATTCCACTTGTGACAAAATCAGACCACTAAAATTGAGACTAAAGAAATATGCTTGGAAGCCTTTATTGTGTTCTTTTGCTTGGTATTTGTCTACTCGGGCTGGTGGCTTTTTAGATAATTATCTTTTTTTTTTTTTCTGTAAGAAACCAAAACTGCAATACATATGACACAGACTGGCAAGGTGATGAAGGGAATTGGTACCTCCTTTCAGAAATGGTAAAAGGTTTTGATTTGCTGGAACCTAAGCATCTTATCAGAGCTTTATGTCCTGTACCTGAGGCTAAATCAAACCTGCCAATATTTCCATGGCACTATAAATGATTTAAGTACCTGCAATCGTAGACGGATCTTTTTTTCTTCATCCAATTCAGACAGCAACTGCTTAATCTCTTTTCTGTTAAAAGAATGCAATAACAAACTTGGAATGCAAATATTGAAACTAGAAAAACACAAAGGATTGCCTCCCGGAAACATATTTTCCTTCTTCGCTACTTATTTCTTTTTTATCCCCAAAGAACTAATTAAAGTAAGTATACTCTTGTGTATTACATACCATAGAGAAGTAATGCTATCTATAAAAGGGCAGTCTCTCCTCCTGCTAATTAATAATATGAGTAATATTTCCTTCTAACAGTCCTGCATCCACAGCTTTTGCTCTTGGCTAGCTGTATCAATATTTTATCAGTACCCAGTTGTCTTTTTTTCAAATAAAATGTAGATAGACTGGCTGTTGGTAGGTTATAAGGACTGGTAACACAAAACCTCCCCATCCTGTAACATATTCAAGCCAGTTAAAAGCTTCTTGTGCCAACAATACAATGTAACCTTCCCACATTCCCACTGAAATGAGCTCACCTTGTGACGGATGCCACTGGGTGGGAGCAGCCCATATTAGAAGGGCTGGGAAAACTAGAGGACCAGGAGCCAAGCTACAGGGTGAAGACATGGGGCTTGGTGTCTACTTCCAGTTTGAGATGTGCCCTCTTGCAATGGCTCTTCTCAAAACCCATCCACACCCGTGTTCTGCTACAGTCTCTGCAGTCTGCTTTCCCTTTTCTTTCTCCCCTTTTCTTTTTCCTACTTGGGCTACAGTTTCCAAAACATCAACATTCTCCCCCAGGAATAGCAAAAAACTATGTGACAGAGCACCCTTCTCCTACTGAAGTAGGAAGCTTAAAGAAAGTTGTCCAGCCCTAAGATAACATGCAGAGTCATAATTCCAAAGGTCTTCAAATGTCCTAATTACAAATTATTTATGCCTTTTGAAATACAAGCTTCCTCTGAACGTGCACTAAGAATGAAACAACGCACTGATCTAACTTTTTAGGAACCTGTGTGAAATTTGTACTACTACCAGTACAAATGCCCTCTCATTAAGATCAGTGCATGGTGAGTTCCAAATAGTTACTAGCACATTAAACAATTAAAAAATTATTCAGTGCTAATTCCTTCTAACTTAACTTATTCAACAGTCCACAAACATCTGCAATCAGTGCAGAGTGATGTATATGAAGACAAGCTCCAGAAGACACTGATGCCACACTTACTGGATGACTTACAGTACTTACTTTTGCTGGTCTTTCATCGTTTCAATGATAGTTCTTAGCTCCTTAACTTGTGTTCTCAGCTCCTCCAGGGCAGTCTGACCCTGGCTCAACTGTTCAGTCTTTGGCTTTCCTTCTGCACCAAGTAGGGATGGGGAATTTGACCTGTGGCCTGTTGTTCCCATAGCAATTGAATGAAATCCAGGTGATGGTGAAGGGGATAGAGATGGTTGTACATTACTGCCACTAGCCAAACCTCCTGGCTTTGGAGGCAATGGAGTTTTATTATCAAATACCTGTCAAAAAAAAAAAAAAAAAAAAAAAAAAAAGTGCCAGGAGAAACCTTCATGAAAATCAGACCTATAACAAACATTAAGTACTTACTTTGCTGCTCTGTAGTAATGCTGAAAGTCCAGAGTCAAAGCATGAGAGATGCAACAAGTAGGTAAATTATCTTTGTACTTCTACATCAGAGGGGGTCTAGCTGGGACCTGTTATTTCAGACAGCTTCAGTGGAAGTTTCCACAGTTGCTAAAACTAACCAGCAAAAACCATTTCCAAGACCTTAGACCCCGCGGTATAAAGAAACAAGGACAGATACCCACTGTTTCTCACAGAAGATTGTAGGAATGTGCCTGCATTTACTGATGTCTCCTGCAAAGCACAACATTAAGGCCAAAAATCCAAATTGCATTTTTTGCAGATTACATTTATGGTTTTCAATTAAGCACCTTGGATATAGATTCTTCCATATCTGTCACTGTCTTAAAATTAAAAAAAAACAAAACAAAACAGGCAACATTTGTGTGTTACCTTGAAAATTTCTGGCTTAGCTCAAAAGCATCCTGTGCTTCTTGAATTGCAATCCAGCGCTCTACTTAGTAGACAAGGTATAGACAACACCTACTGTATAGGATCCGTTACTTCATTGCACACACAGAACAGTGTAAAAGTACAGATGTCACACTGGCAAGTAAGGTAAGTCTTAATTGTTCATCATATTATTGGTAATGCTAATGTGGGCATTATATGATGCGCACCAGAACTAACTAAATTCTGATTTTTGGGCCAGAGTAAGAGAAAGTGCTGGACAGCCCTTGAATTCTCTCATTGGAAAAGAGATACTGAAACTGAATAGCAAATAAGATACTGAGAACAAATAGTATGCAAACACAGATACATGATGAGCGAAAACTTGAGGACTAGAGCAATGGCATTAACTCAACAAAGTAACTCAGAGAAAAATTAGCAATCAGATGACAACTAGAGAAAAAGTGGTGAGGAGAGAAAAGCAGGATCCACCAAGTTCTGTAGAAAACTGTTTTCTCTACTACATGGGAGTGATTGAGTGCAGAACCTGCCCCAGACAAACACTGCATAGAAGAAAGTCTTCTGTGAAACAAACAGTGCGACCAGATATAGAAAAATGGCATTATAAATCACAAGAGAGATGAATAATCCTCGTGGCTTGAATGCTTGACTGTTGTGATCTTAATTATGCCCCTTTAACGTTTTACGTACGTGTATGAATGTCTGAGAAGCAATGTATGCACCTGCAACCAGATTCTTCATGGATAATAATCCTTCAACAACCTGATGCAAGTTTCCTTTGAACTGAATGGGGATGTCAGGCAGCAAGTGAGCAAGGCACAACTGGTGCCATCCACACTGAACATGTTACGCCACATCTCATCTATCCATCTGGATCAAAGCCTCAGCCAGACACTTTCTTATAGCAGTCTTCGTGTTTTAGAGGAACAAGATCTACATTGTTGCCATGCCAGCATATTATTTACGAATGTTGGCCCAAGAATATTCATTAATTCAAATGCACCCAGAAGAGGGAGCTATATAGCAAAACATTATTCTCATAATTTGATCATAGAAGTGACTGCATCTTTCAACTAAGTCTTGAAATACAAATAGTATTAAAAATACAAATATTACAATGTAGTATTTTTATTAGCCAAGGTATCCTTATGTACTATAGCACCAAACTCTAAGGCCTGATCTATTTATTCCTTCCATAGTATTTGATAATTTCAGTTTTCTACCAAGACAAAGTAAGAACAGCACAAGCCTATATGATAAATACAGTTATACCAGTATAAAAAGTGACTATACTTACAAATTTTAATTGCAAATTTTAAATTAGAATGGCCCAAAGAGTTGTACTTATTTGCTCTGCTCAAAGACTCATCTCATGTAAACTCAATTTACAGCTGCAAAAAAAGGCCTTTGTTTCTAACATCTATTTCCCTAGCTTCTCTGAATCTGTGAAGTGCAATTACACTAGAAAGATTTTTTTTCATACTATGTTTATGGAGGCATTTAACTCTGCAATTCACTTTAGACTTTTCAAACACAGAACGGCCTTACCACTTCTACGTTACTTTAAAGGACCGGTTACAAAAGTGGTTGTTGTGTTAATATTAAAAGAATTACTATTGAAAGTAACTATTTGAATAATGTTTTCAAAAATTAAAATACCCACACAGTAAGGATGAACAATTAATTCCAATTAATTTACCTGTGATATTGTAACAGTTCTTGATTTCTTCGACACTTCAATAGTTTTGTGTGTAATGGAAACATGCTCTTCCTTCTCTTCCTCAGGACTTGGTGAGTCAAAGAAATCTGGGCTTGAAAGGGACGACTAGGTAGAGAGAAGAAAAAAAGCAGATATTTTCACTGTATAAGGATTTAACACAGGAATAAGAAAAGCATCAATGTGGTTTTGGTTTGGTGGTGGTTTTTTTTGGTCATAATTTCCAAAGTAACAACCTGAAATTCAGCACTCTCCCTCCTTCCATTTTTTGTTTTGCTTGCAGGGCTAGATGAAATGAGAAATTCTTAGAGATTTGGATTCAATGTGAATTTCCACCTTTGCCTTGCATTATACTCTAAGACTAAAGCACCTTCCTGTCTACCTTACTTGGCCAGGATATTCTGCATGCTGTGGGGTGTCAGCCCCGCCACTGCTTTGCCTATAGTGCAGGTCTTGCTTTGCTGCTCTTTTGAGGAGTCTCACTACTGCCTATGCACAATGATGGCACAGTACAGGTCTGCCATAGGCCTCTTTGCAAGGGTGCAAACAAGGAAGGTTTTTTTCTGTCCCTTGTCCATTTACCCACGGAATTGTCAGGGGAAGAAAAGTCTCTGAACTTCTTCTAGGTTTCTGTATATTTGTGCTCATAGACAAATTTGAAAGACTTTTTGTTTGTTCTTTATTAGTTTCACAACACTCCTTTACACTTCCCCCACTTCATTTTTCTTGAGCCACGTGAACATGGGTATCATCAGCAGTTGTTCTCATTCTCATATTCCAGAATGCAGGAAGTGTGGAAAAAACAATCCCCAATCCCCACAGAAAAAAGACTGAAAAACTGAGCTGCAGATTCCAAAGCAAGGTTTCTGAGACCAACTGGTCTAAAAATACTAGAAATTCAAGTCACCCCTTTATTTACAGGTGTCAGCTTAAGGAGAAGAAATGATTGATGGAGATGCATGAGGAGAGTTGCTGAAGACCATCAACGGTCTGCTGTCCTCAAACTCTGCTAACTGGCCCAAAGGGAAATCCTTCCTTTGGGAAATGCTTTTAAAATCCTTGATATTTTGCACAAACTAATTTATTCCAAAGGCTTTTTATAGAGCTTTATTTTGGCCTCAGCCATGGTTGGCAAGGAATATCTGGCAGCACCCAAAGGGGGGAGGGCAGGGTACAAATCTCACAAGGGAGGGAATGTTTTAAACATTAGCATTCAAAACATTGGCAGCCTTTAGACACAAATTTTCCTGCATCTCTCTGCCTCACTGTACATGTGAAGGAATGGCTGTGTAAATGGATTAAAAGCATCAGGGAACAGAAAGACAGAGAAGAAAAAGTTCAGGAAAAATCTTTTAAAAATCAAATTACACTTACAGATGTGAAAGACTGGGAGGGTGGTCGCCTGCCAGTAGCTTTTGGTCTGGTTGTAGTTGGATGATTAAGCTTCTCAGCAATTGGTACTACAGAGTCAAAACCTTCCAAGTCTTAAAAATAAAACAGAATTGATTTGATTTTCTGGCAACTATTCTGAAAGGGAAAAAAATCACTTTTTTCTTTTCTTTTAATTTTGAAGAAACCAAATCCCATTTTTTCCATTGTATTACAGCATTCTGAGCACATTTAGACAACATGATGTCACTAAAAGAACCTGGAAGTCAGAGGCAGCTGCAGTCCAGTTGCTCTTGCTATGCACAAGGGCCCTTCCACCTCAAACACAACAAAGGGGAAATGAGCAGAGGAGCCTCTGGTTTTGTTTACGTTCAGCACAGTGAGAGCGAAATGACAACACAGATCCTACGGTAATGAACAGTTTCAAAATTTCCATCTTGCTGTTAGAAGGATTAGTAATTTTTTTTCCAAACAGCTGGAGACAGAATACAGCACACACGTTGTCTCACATGCTGTATACCCAGCGCTGCTAGCAGCACCACAGACAATTGCTCACAGGATCAGAGAATGTGCGTGCTGGAGCTGGATGGAGCTGCAGGTTTCTGGATGGCTGCAGCTGGAGGCAGAAGAGTTTCCAGAAGCTGAAGATGAGGAGATTATCTCCAGCAGTTCAGAGGTTAAGCAAAAACTCCTGCAGGCTCCGGAAGAGGTAAAAAGCCCACGACTGTCTTTGTGGTTAATAAAATGCACTGGGAAGGTGCTTGCTGAATCCAGCCACGTGTTTATGTGAAAGAACGATGCGAAGGCTGACGGAATACTGCAGCTCATGATTACGTGCCTGAACCAAACGGCTTAACACCTTTCATCTATTTTTATGGGCGATATCAGTTTCAGTCACCTCAATTTCAGAACGCCCTATCGCGTATGTTAAACAGAAATGATTGAGAAAACATACAAGAGTCCAGGCACGATAAATCCAAATTCTGAAGAATTACTTTCAGGCATGAATCAAATGCTAAGAATTTTATTACTCAGAGACCATTTTTCACTGCATACGTGCAGGAAATACAGCTTGTAATTTAACAGTGCTCTTAATTTTCCAATCTGCTGCAGAACAGTGAGTCTCTAAAGTTCAAGCATTACTGCTGTGTTACAAAGATGGTACAAAATCACATAACAGAAAAACAAACCTGTGTTTGTGCAATAAACAATGCACACTGAAGGACACTTAAATGAATTCAAGTACTTGTGAATTGGCAGCTAGGAAACAAATGGGATTAGACGTTCTTGATTCAGGAACATTTTTCCATCCCAGGGAGATTTAGAAAAGGGTTTTAAAAAAAAAAAGAGACACCTCTTTCAATAGCCCTGAAATAGTCAGAGGTTATTCACCTCGAAACTTTATTTAGAGCAACTCTTCCTATATATAACCAGTGACACCACTGTCGTCTGCCAGGTATTTCTCTCACTGCTTCCTTATTGACTGTTGCAGCCTTTGCCATGAGGTATCAACACAGTCAGTCAATAGCAATTTGGTAATCCAAAGCTTTGAAAGAATGCAAGTATTAGGTGAAGCTACAATGCTTTGAAAAGAAAAATGAGCTAACCCAAACAGATTACACAAAACTACAAGAAAGCACACAGACCTCCAGGGTTACAGAAGAGGAGAAGTGGAAGTAAAATAATTATTTTCTGGAACAAACATCAGCCTAAATATAGGGTTTGGCTTCCAGAATTGCCAGCTTGAAGCTGATTTGTGAGATAGCTAAATGCCTTCTTAAGATCACGTGGCAAATCAGCAATGTATTTTTATGCATTGTCTTTGTATTTGCTACTGTGTGTCAGTTAGGTTGAAAGCAAGAAAATATTGCCATCAATAACAGACTTCCCATAAACATGTGAAATTCACATACACAGGTACAAATGGTGACTTGAAGCAGCACTCTGCTTGCCCCAGCTACTCTTCCCCACCTAACCATCTTCACTGTTTTTTTCCTGACCTAGTTTTAATTCAGCTTATCTTCCAAAAATGTGTGCCAAGCCACACAAATACCTGTGCTGAAGAAAGGATCAGTAGCTGCTAAAGCTGAGAGGAGAAGGAGGCTATTGCTATGAGGGCAGTAAACTGACTGCAGTTATCTCCATGAGAATACATGTGAGTGCTCTAGTGCACAATTTCTCGTTTTCCATTTCCTTTGTAAGTGCCACTCTCTCTTTCTCTGTTCTTACATAGGATATCTATCCTAAAAATGGAAAACATCAATGAAAAAAAAAAACAAAAGTGACAGTATTAACACAGTGTGTTTCTTTGGCCTAAGTAAGCTGTTACCTAGACTTCTAAGTCTGATTAATAAATAAATAAATAAATAAATAAAATCATTTCAATTGCAAAATGTATTGATAACAGCAGACAAGGGTATGTATTTTTGTTCAGAAGACCCATGGGCACTCACAGATGATATGTACTCTGCACATTTTATGAATACCAAGAAACACAAACATTCCTGTGCAAAGCTTCTGCTAAGAAGAAAGAATGGGAAGAAAGATGATAACTCTCCATTTCTTCTACTTTTGAATGCATTCCTGATGGCCAGAAAAATAAACTAAAGCAGCTCATTCCTACGCTGAATTTTAGAAAAGGAGTGGAGCAGAGCAGATGTTGGAAAGGTTCCTCTGGTAAAATCTACAGCTGAACTGGTAAAATCACAGCCATTCAGCTGACACTGCAAATGAGACTCTATTTAAGTGTAAGGGACAGCACTTGGTACAACGCTAAAACAGTAAACCCATCTCCAGAAACTTCACATGCTCTTTTATCGTCTCCTCCCAGTTTGTTCTCCTTATTTAGATGTGGTTCTCACTCCCAAATCCCTTCTGCATTGAAGATAATCACCACCTTCCCTGAGCACTCAGAGAGATTCCCACCTGCTATACTAGTGAAGAAAATGAGGAACAAAACCACAAAGAAGACCTCTGCCTTACTATCATCTATACTGCAGCTTCAGTAATTAACTCACTTACAGAGGTTATTTGATTTTTCTATTGTCAGCAGAAAGCCAGGCTATATAGGTGTGACTAGACCACACTTACCAAAGTTATTAAATGCATCCATCTATTTTGGAGAGTATTTCTCCAGTCATCAGGTACTGCGAGCTTAAATTTACAGACTAATCAAACTGTAAAACTTTCCTGAGAAGGGCCGAATGAGAGGCCATTAAAATGTGACCTACCATATTCAAAGCACGTTAATTGCCAGTAAGGCAGCATCAGCATCCAACAGAATTGAAGGGTGCCTTGGTCCAGCTTTCTGTGTCTGTTAATAGTAACCAGTAAAGAAGGTTCTCTTAAACACACAGAAGACAGGAGAAAGCCTTCAATTAACAGTGATAATCTGTAATTTAAAAAAAAAATTCTAATTAAAAAAAATAGGTGATAGTTGCTCTACAAATAAATAGATGCACTGAGCTTTCTTACTGCTTTGGTGGTCAAGCTGGCAATTTATGCGTACTGGTGTAGTACACCCAAAAAAACGCCCAGCTTACTGAGCAAACACAGCTATAGGAATAAATTGGAGAAATACTGACTGTGCAAAAATTATTCCCTGGTATCTTTCCATACCCTTAAGAATAGGATTTCCTGTCCCCTTAAGAATAGGATTTTTTTCACCACTCTTGTGCTTGCTAGAAGACATGGCCACCGTGTTTTCAAACAGTATCCAGGTTCAGAAAAACAAATTTGAGGAAAAAGTTCTGAGCTTTTTAGATTTGCACCTTCCCGGAAAACAACTTCCAATCCCTCCGGAAGAATTCCCAGGAAGGAATTAAATGGCTACACTTCCTTCCTTGTTCCCCTCCTCCAGGCATTCATTTACTGTTCTAGCAGAAATTGTGCCTAGGCCCCACTCTGGCTTTTTTTTTCAGTCTTTGGGCAAAGTCATTTCTACATAATGAAGATAGAAAGCTTTCTGAATTAGCAGAGAAATTTCACCTTGGGAAAAACGAAGTGGAAAGTGATGGATAATCTCAGAATCAACATATTCAGAATGCTAATGGCAAGATTTCGGAGAAGAGAAATACAGCAGGGCTGGAATAAATGAGGCCAAGGTGGCATTCAATTCATTTGAAGAGGACAACGTCACAAAAAATCACAGAGGTAGATTTCATTTCATTATCATATTCAACACATTTAAAGGATTGACAACAGGCTAGTTAAATGATGTACTGTCTTTAAACACATTAATCCTGAAAGCTATCCTGCATCAAATGAGACAGATATGGCAAGTGAGATCTTCTGCATTAAAGTCAGTTCAATACACAGTGATAATTAAAAAGCAACTCAACAGAGAATACGAATATTACTGGGAATTTTCACAAGCCCAGAATTGTTTCAACTACTTCAAGTACTCAGGTTCTGCTCATCTCTCCCTGCTGAGCAACATTCCACCCTTCAAGGAACACTGCTGCACTTTCAGTCAGGTTCATGGTAGCAGGATCACACCCAGGATAATCTGCTGACTCTTTTCTAATTCACTTCTAGCAGGAGGGTTCCCTGGCCACAGAGTTGCTCTACGTAAGACTGTCTGGTCAGTCTGCCCACGACTCTTTGCTCTGGGTGGAAAAACCTATGCTGGCCTGGCTTCCTTGGACAGCCACTGGACAGCCACCTCTCCTAAAACATGTGATTTGATTTTCACATTTCAGCCCCAAGTTTTATTGGCTTAATAGCAGAATGTAGAAAGCTGCCATAATGATCTTAGCAAAGCACTTGCCAGTGTCCTCATCAGGATTTTATTTTTAACAATTCAGAAGATGCCAAGAAAGAGCTAAAAGGTCAAGGAAATTGAGCTAGAAGAAATGGATATGCTGTTTTCAGGCGCCTCCATTTGACACACATAGAGAATGATTCAAGTTTCTGTGTGACTGCTTTTTCTTCAGCACCCTCCAGGGCAAAAGACTTAATTAATTTACGTAATGGACTATTAGCATATCACTGATCACAATGTTTATAATTCACACCTAGGTTTATGGGTAATTTGGATTCAGTGACTTTTGAGTTCTGCTTCTTTGCTTTGCTATATTCAAATTAACATGAACAG